CTACCAATGACAGAACTCTCTGTATAATTTTACCAATGACAGATATTTCTGTATAATTCTACATGTCTCTTTATGTCCCCATATCATTCTGGTAACTCTTCATCTCTGTCACTTAGGATTTTTTTTGTAATTTGTCCACCATCCTGAAGAGCTTTTTCTTCAATACGTCCTTTTTCCTTTTAAAGATAACGCCTCCATTAGCCTTACTTTTAGCAATGGCATTTTCACACTCCTTAGGCTTTGGTCTAATTTTTTTTTTCAAGTTGTTTTTTAAACAGTTCTTGAATCTCATCCTCCTCTTCTTTAGTCCATTTTCCTTTTCCATTTTCACCACCTCGAACCCTTTTTTTCGTGTGATCAGAATCCTCGAACTGTTCAGAAATACTCAGAACTTCCTCAATCTCCAGATCCTCAGACTCATCATCTTGACTAAACAACTCAGTTGACACTTCATGATCTTCATCAGTGTCTTTGTTTGTTTCCAAAACAATATCTGAAAAGAAAAACCAGAAAATTTCATGTGAACTGGCAAATATCTGTAAAACATAAATGATTAAGTCCTCTGCTCTGTGGAATTTCTTTTAATATTCTAAAAATAAATTATGATGACTTTGATTCTGATGTCCTGAATCTAACATGCAATCAGCCATTACGAAGGTTCAAAGCTTGTTTCCATGGGTGTGTTCAATCTTATAACTGCTGCATGCCAATGATACCAGCTACATGTAAGTAAATCAGCTCCCAGCAGCCATAAGATTAAATGGACCCCTGATCTGATCTGTCCATAATGTTACAGGAAAATTTGTAAAAGAATAAAATTGCTGAGTTAAGTTAAATCAAGTGACCTTGGCCTTGACCATGTAACAATGAAACATAATCTGTGGAAGAAATGAATGAATCATTCTGAAAGGTGGTAAAAACATATTTTTTTTTTAAATTTTCATAACCTCATGCATTTCTTATGGACATTTTTTAATATTCTTTACACTAGTACATTTTTTAAAATTCTAGAATGTTACAAAAAATAACAAAGTCACTGGTAATTAAAATCTTGTGAAAACTGACTAAAAGTTGGAGGTTTGAGGCCACAATACACAATACAACAAAACTTCAGGTACTCTGTAACTTCACATCTAGGTACTGAATATATTTTGGGTCATAAAATTTTGTCTTCACTAAGGGGATAATACGCTTGTTTTTATGAAACTACCTACGATTAGATCATTTATTTTGGTTTTGAAACGATACAAAGTCGATTGTTAAAACAACAAAATTCATGATCTAATCACAAGTAGATTCACAAAGACAAGCGAATTATCCCCATCCTAAAATTATCTGAGGCATAGTGTCACAATAATTGCTGTCTAATTAAAATCAGATCTCTCATTTCACTACATTATGGGAGATCTGACGAAGCTCCGTTGAAGTACGCATTCTGGTGAACTTTTCTTATTAGCATAGGTCATCTGATGTCGTCCAATCATATTGTTTCTCTCTCCGAATTTACTGACCAAAATCCTGGCAGCAGCAATTTGATTGGCTGATGAATAATATGACCTTGGGTCACCAGAACGCGTACTCCAACAGGGCTTCATCAGATCTCCATAGTGTATTGAAATGAGAGATCTGAATTTAATTAGACTGCAATAATCGTGACGTCATAATAGTGCTTATAATATTTCATGATTATACCAGCGATTAGATCATGACAATTATTCAATCAAAACAGACATTACATCACCATCATTTTGGAATATGCCATTATCATATTTATGGATGGCAAGTAGAGGTATATTGCCTTCCCAACTCAAATATATATGTAACATTAGGTTAAAAGTGCAAACAAAATCTCAGTTTAGAGAAAAAAACTCATACCATCGAGTTGGATGTCTTGCAATGATTTGTTTCGAAACTTCCCAAAACTTCCTGTATCTTGCAACAAGAGAATCTTTGCAATTTGTGTTGCTTCTATGACATCACTTGTTGCTCTGCAAGAACAAGAGTTTTCATGCTACATAGAGCTACATATTCAGCAAAACAGAAGACGGTATTATGTAAAAGCTATAAGCTAGATATACCAACTTATAATGACTTTGCTCAGAAGACTGCTTTGAAAAAAGGGGTGTGTGTCTCAAGTTTTAATATACACATAGTCATGTTCTTTTACCAAAAAATATCATAAAATAATAGCAAAATCTTGTGTTAAGTACTGTAATCTTTCAACAACATAAGAAACACTTATAAGATATAATCAACTGAAAAAAAGAAGATTTAAGTATATGAAATATCAGAGACTTGAAAAGTATGTTGGTTATGAACGAATAAATAGTCGGAAAAGTATGCAAAATGATAGTGACAATGTTTCTACTCAATTGCATAGGACAAACACCATTTGAAATGGACTTGAAAAAATAGTGCCATTAGCTTATTGTTACATCTCTTAATGATACAATATTAACATACCTGTAGTGAATTTTATGCACATCTAAAGTGTGTCCCATATGTGAAAGTACCCACTGCATTTCTTGTTCTTTGAGATCAAGTACCTGCAAAACATGGATTAATCGACGATAGATTACATACCTGCTAGCTCATCATATTTCAAATACATATTTTCATAGTATCAGAATACAAGAGGTCCAACGGGCCTGCATTGCTCACCTGGCACTTGCAGGGTAATTGAAATTTTCACAAGAAGACATCCAAAAATTCAAACCAAAATTACCCTGTAACCTTGAACTAGCAGTCATCTTAGATATTGGACGGACCCAAAAAGTGACAACACCTATTTCAGGACCATGTCTGGACCATTTTAGGCAAGTTTCAGTTCAATGTCAACACATTTGTGAGACGATTACATGTATTGTCCAATATCTTGGAAAAACCTATTCATTCTACATTCTTTAAATCATATTTGACATATCGTTTACAGAGTGGTTTTTTTTCAACAATTTTTAAGTAATCCATGCAAAATAACTACTGGTGTACCCCAGCTGGGCTCGATAATTGGGCCTCAGACGTTTTTATTATATGAGAATGATATGCCTCTCCACTCCAGGCATTGTGATTTCTACATGTATGCCGACGATACTACTATGCAGAAAGCTGACAAAAGAACAGAAGTTATAGTCCTGTCTATGCTCTTGATTTTCAGAATGGAAAAAAATGGTGTTTGTTTGAAATGGTTGTTAATACCGATAAGACCAAAGTTATGTTAGTAGGCAGTACACAGAAAAAGCAGAAGGCATCAAATGAATTTAGCATTAAATGTAATGATGGTGACAACCATGCATGCAGAAGTTAAGAAATGTCAGCCATGAAAATTATTAGGAGTGTGTATTGATGACACCTTATCATGGGCCAAACATGTTTTAGATATCATCAAGAAAGTTAATTTCAAATTATATAAGTTATATATAATCAAACATTTTCTACCAGTTTCTTCAAGAATCACTTACATCAACTTCTTCATTTTACCCTACTTGGTTTATTGTTCAAATATACGAAAAGGAGAAAGGTTGCAAAAAAGTTTACTGCATACAATTTTTGAAGTCGATTACTTGGTATTGGGAGATGAACTATTAAACAAACTAAAGTGGCTTCCCTTCACCAAAAGAGTGAGTTATAATGAATGTATATTGATGTTTAAAGTAGTCAACAACCTGTGTCCAAATTACTTGGATGACTGTCGTGTATTTGTATCTAGCGTGCACAACAGAGAAACCAGGGCATCTGCCACTGGCAAATGCATTTTACCAAAACATAAAACTGTAAAATTTCGGGATTCATTCTTGTTTAACGGACCATCACTGTGGAATAGTCTTCCTGACAATGTCAGACAGTGTCAAACCTTAGGCAGTTTTAAATCAGCATGTAAAAATCAATTTTCGAAACAATAGTCTTTGGCATCTCTTGATATCTTCTCTAGCATTTTTTAGTGTGTGCATAACAATTATCAATACAGCAATACATTTTATTTTCTATTAAAATCAGCCAGTGAAGCATAATATATACAATGACAAGTTTTTTTAAAATAACTTTGCATTATGTATTTTTCAAACTTTTATTGAATCATTATTCATCTAGTCAGACTCCTTTTATGACCAGATCTGTCTGTGGTATTTAAGGAGTGTATTAATATATATTTGTTATCTTATGAAATGTAAATATTATAAATTTTATGTCAACCACTTGTTAGAAGAGTCATAATGACGCAAAGTGTTATCGATTTGAAATAAAGTCATGAAATAAAGTCCTTAAATTATTAAATATATGAGAGGACTGAACGGCACATTTGCTGCCTAGGACTCATTTGTGAAAATTATACATTATTCAATATTATGACTTTCTTTTAAAATTACCTGTGTTATTGTTGCCATGTATTTTCTCAAGTTTGTACTGGTTATCCTTTCGGGTGCCTTCAAGTCTGCTGCTTTACAAGCCTTTGAAAGTGCATCATATGCCCTTACAACACCATGACCATCACCTAAAAGAAATAATATGTAAAATCATGTGACTAAGTAAAGACACCTTCAATGGCAAATTTAAGTTTCAACTTATTTATAAAATAAAGTTGCAAGTCAAACAAAAACTAATCCTGGATTTCTCTACACCCTTGGAACATGTCATAGCATGAAAAACGAGGATGACAAAAACTAGACTATCGTCTCAAGCTATCGTCATAAGCAGTAACTTTTTCATTTGGAAAAAATACAATCGCTACTTTTCAACTCCCGTTACAATATCTATGCCTCAGTCTGATTAGCCAATATTATTTGCAAATGATTACCCATATCAAACATTATAATATGTTTTTGATTCATGTGACCTTGAAAGTAATTCAAGGTCATTCTTTTAAACTGACACTCTTAGAAGTTACCTTGTGAAGCAAACACATATGGGTTGTGTATGTCAATCCCTGCCGATTTTCGCACTTCAATACTAGTCAAATATGCCATTGCTGCTTTTGTCTCCCTTGGCAAAATAACTGGTACTCCTCTGCCAGTCTGAAAGGAACAAAAATATCAATGCCAAGATATCAATTTGTCTGAACAAAGACATCAGAGAGTTTTTTAACTGGCAAATTCAACAGATGGACAGGAGGCCTAAAGGGTCGATATCAGTTACCTACATCCCATGTAGTTCAACACACAACTTGAACAAGAACTTCAAATGAACTAAGTTCCTTTAATGGGCATGCACCAGCCCCTCTAGTCAGGACTTGCCTTCAACAGAAAACCGAATCCCCTTCTTCTGAGCATGCTTCACACCAAATATGAATACCACTCTGCTATTCCCTCAGTAGGAGCAATATTCTAAATCATCTACAGTTTTCCCTATTGGCAGGCTTACCCCATGGCCCCCATTTCCCTTTTCCAATGATGCTTCAAATCAAAATTGAGAACGTACCTATGTGATTTTAAGCTTTTACCTTTCATAAAGAGACGCTAATTAATTAGCAAATACTCAAGAAACAGCAATATCAGGCTTAATCTTCATCCATTCCATACACAAAAAAACAAAGGAAGGCGGAACGGTACCAATAAATATAGTCTGCACATTATTTGAGCAATGAACAGGTACATGTATATGGTAACTGGGATGATGTCACGTGAGCATTTATAATAAATGAGCTATTCTTACCTTTCCCCGAACAGTCATAACCTCCTGTGTCTCCAATAACTTTTTCTCAAAATCAGAAAGTTCGCCCATCATATTGCTGCAACTTTCTCCGTCGGTTGCAGTACATCTTCTTTTGTAATCTGTCAGTCTAGATATAAATTAAAGAATTTCTTTTTTATTTAAAAAAATTCAGGTATGCAATTATTCATTCTAGATCTTTGCACAACATTTTCATTTATTCACAAATAAAACTAAAGCTTGTTTGCATTGAATTAAAATACACAACAAATGACAAATAGGACTACAAGAAATCCCAGATGAACCATGGCACCCATAATAAACTGATGAATCTTTACCGTTCTTTCTTTCCTCTTTTTGATCTCAGTAGCTACTAACAACTGGCACATTATGAAACAAGAGGCCCATAGGGCCTGTAGCGCTCACCTGGTTTAAAGATAGCGTAAAGCAAAAAAATAATTCATACATTATAGCATGGATGTTCATGTAAAGCTATTTCATGCCCCTTAGGCCCCTAGGGGTCAGCCCCATCATTGATACAATTTTGAATCCCAACCACCAAGAGATAACAACAAATCAAATACCAATGAAATCCATACCCTAGTTCTGCAAAAGTAGTCATTTATATCAATATAGCCACTTTGGGTAACTGCTGCACCAATTAGGCCCTGAGGGGTCAGCCCCACCATCAGTACAATTTTGAATCTCCACCAACTGGGGATGCTATCTGTCATATATCATTTAAATTCATTGTTTAGTTCTGGAAAATAAGATGTTTCTATGAATACAGCCAAATTGCCCTTTTTGGCCCGCCCCTCAGGCCCCTGGGAAATCAGTCCCACCATCTGTACAGTTGCCATCCATCAAATATAATTGAAACACATTGTTCAGTTTTGGCAAAAAAGATGTTTAAAGCAATATTGCAAAATTGAAACTTTTTGGCCTCATCCCCCCAGCCCCCAGGGGGTCAGCCCTACCATTTGTACAATTTTGAATCCCAACACTTGGGGATGCTTCCAGTCAAATATGGTTGTTATCCCTTTCTTAGTTTCAGAGAAGAAGATGCTTAAAGCAATATGGCAAAATTGACAACTTTTGGCCCTGCCCCTCAGCCCTACCATTTGTACAATTTTGAATCCTCACCACCTGGCGATGCTTCCAATCAAATATAGTTGTTATCCCTTTCTTAGTTTCTGAGAAGAAGATGCTTAAAGCAATATAGCAAAATTGACCCCTTTTGGCCCCACCCCTCGGCCCCCTGGGGGGGTCAGCCCTACCATTTGTACAATTTTGAATCCCTACCATCTAGGAATGCTTCCAGTCAAGTTTTGTTTAATTCTGACAGTGATTAGGAAGAAGAAGTCGTTTATGCAATTGTTGACGGACGCCACGGTATGGCATAAGCTCACCTTGGTCCTTTGGACCAGGTGAGCTAAAAAAGGATCTTTTATTGTCAAAATCTGTCCGAGATGGCTGCCTGTTGAGCCATGTTGTGAATCAGTTTGAAAAAAGTACAATGCTTATGCACAACTACATAATAATGTATGCACCAAGAGGAACCTACATATGTAATTTGAGAAAGACCATTCAGTAGTTGTTGGGAGATAGCAATAACAATCTTTTGATGTCAAAATCAGTGACCTTGACCTTTTACCTCTGAATCTGAAAAGCAATCTAAGGCAAGCACTCTTTGGGAGGTACTTGTGTATGAAGTTTTAGGCTGATCCATCCAAAGTTACTAAAGTTATTGAATGAAAACTTATTTTCTGTTTATAGTTACAGTGACCATGACCTTTGAAGCTGTAAGGCAATCCCAAGCAAGAAATCTTTAAATTAGGTTTGAGGTTGATTGGCCCAAGGAAACTCAAGTTATCACTCTGAAACAAATGGACAGATAGATGGACGAACCAAAATTGATATCGCCCGCTTTGCTGAGAGCGGGGGATAAAAAGGTACTTGACAAAACTAGGCACCAAGAGGAACCTCCATATGAAGAAAGATCAATAATAGAGAAATGAGAAATAGCAATAACAAGCTTGTTTATGGACGACAAACGGATGATGGGTGATTTGAAGAGCCCACCATCTCATGATGGTTTTCTAAAAATGGAGTATATGTACAGTATAATTATGCATTTTCACACACAAATATTTTGACTTTTAGCAGTGTTGGGAATCCATTGAAATTTAAAGCTTGATCATCAGAAAGCATCAAGTAATTAATGACCAACAGATACTTGATTTAAACTACTATAGCTAAGTTATTACAGAGATTCAATTAGGTGGGGGTGGTGTACCTGATTGCCTGTAGTTCCCCAGTTCGTCTACGGTTGTAGACAACAAGTTTTGCTTCAGTAACTTCTGCAGTTTTCCTGAAGATGTCTGGGATACTAGTATTTGACTTCAAATCAAGGTCCTTTAAAGATTCATTCAGGAAAATGTTGAGAGTCTTGATGTCGTTTGGTTCTGGGAGTTTTTTATCCTTTGCATAATGTCTTTGTTCCAGCAGAACCCTTGACATCTTAGTTACGCTTGTCCCCCAATAAACAGACATAGCTTTTAGTAGGTCCTCTGCATCTTGACGTGAAGCTTTGTCTCCAGACTTGATTGCTAAGCCTATTTTGCCATTTAAAAGTCTTTTTATATCATATCCAAGTTTTATGGCGTTGCTCGGTTTCTGAATGTCCTCTTCATTGTCCACACTCTGACTTGCTGTCATAAGTGTTGCCTTGATTATCTCATCTAAGTGGCTTGGTTTTAAGTAGTTCCACATTGTAGGCTCTTCATTTAAAGGTTTGATTTTCCTCAGATGTAGCAGAAGTCTTGCAACCAAACGCATTATTTGCGATGTGTAGGACCCTCTTTTGAGGGTGTTACCTATGTTTTTTTGAATCCACTGGTTTCCCAGTTGAACAATTAATGGATCATTTCTTGCAACTGTTCCTACCTCATCCACTTTCATTGTTTCAAACACTTCTTTTGCCAAGATCTTGCTAGCGACTGTAGAGATTCTATTAGCAATGGTATCTGATCTTGTCTGAATGGCAGCCTTTTTCAGAGTGCAGTCTTCAGTATTTTTTGATAAACACTTCTTTTGATGTTTTTGCAATAATTTTTTAGCTATCCACAGCAAACAACGAGGGCAAGGTCCAAAATCATCATGTTTAAAGTTTATTGTGGGCCGTCTTTCCAACAGTATTTCTCCTTTACCAGCTTTCAGAGTCCTCATGTTGTTTTCATGGTTGAATTTTGCTCGTAACTGCTTCTGCAGCAATTTCCTTTCTTTTTCATCTTTTTCATGAAGGATTTGTTGAATTTCTGGACAGTTCTTGTGTTTATCTTTATGTCTTTCAATATGTTGTGAAAAATTTGAAACTTTTACATTGCACACACCACAAAACTGGTAACTGTTGAATACTCTAGAATTTCTTTTTTTCTTTCCAGTTTTGGTAGTCTCCGACTTAAACACTTTTCTGATGAAAATCTTTGGATTTCCCGAGTCTCGTAATAAATCATCTTCATCCTCACTAGTGCTGTCGTCATCAGAAATTGATTCACTTACTTCAATATCTTGTTCAATATCACTGATGCTATTTGGTTCTTTTTCGTTTAGACCCATCTCCTGATGCATCTTTCTGTTTCTTTGTGAAATTTTGTTTTCGCAAACAGATACCTTTGTATTCAGAATGGGATATTCATCACTACAGTAACCATCACTTTCATCTTGACTATCTTGTATCATGTCAAATTGATCATCATCACTTGAAGGCAAATAATCAGGGTCGGAATAAGCACCTCCAAATTGTGAATCAAATTGCTCCTTGTCCATCTGCAAGCGAACTTGTTCAGTAAGTTCATCACTGACAAGCTGTGTGGTTATCTGCTCAGTAGGTTCATCACTGACAATCTGTGTGATTATCTGTTCAGTAGGTTCATCACTGACAAGCTGTGTGGTTATCTGCTCAGTAGGTTCATCACTGACAAGCTGTGTGGTTATCTGCTCACAAGGTTCATCACTGACAAGCTGTGTGGTTATCTGCTCAGTAGGTTCATCTCTGACAATCTGTCTGTGAACCTGTGCAACGGTTTGAAAGTTGTCCTTCTTTTCTGTCTTGTGCTGCATCATAACATCTGTAAGAAAACACAAAGATTCACTTTGTTTATATACTTATGTTCTCATAAATTCATTGAAGTACTGCTAATGTTTTAATCTGGAAATATCAAAGCAGAGGAAATGGTGCAAGTGTTGTCACTGATCAATTCCGGTTAATGTTCAGTGTAATGGACAATAATTTCAACTCATTTACTAATTATAGACAAGTGGCGAAATAAAGTATCCTCAACAATTCTGAAGTGTGTTTAATTAAAAGGAAATGCGTGATATATTGGCCAACATTTAAGTGGTGTTGTCTACCTTTAATTTTCTAACCAGATCGAACTTTAAATACATATCGATAATACATTAACCCATTAGTGCACACAAAAATATTTGCTAGACTTATTTGTGTATATTTTCATTTTCACCATAATGGAGCATCAATATGATGTGAAATGATCATGTCTTACCTTTTACCCAGTTTATGTCCTCCATCATTATGAACATACTTTTTTTCATCCCTTTCTTCTTCAGCACGTCTACATCAAATCAGAAGGAAAAAAAATACATTTATAACCCGAGTCTTTTTTTCATTCAAAATATCCATTCTAATGTATGGTTGCAGAATTATATCATTAACAAACCAAATTTAGCAGGTTCTTTGGGGCAAAACATTATCAAACATCTTAAATGCCACATTTATTATGTGATCCCCTATGATGAAAAACAAAAGAATCATGGGCTTACCTCATAAATGTGATATCTAGTAGAATCAAATTCAATCACACAGATACATGTATAAAGAGTCTGGATATCACATTATTGAATACTATACATATCAACACCTACTTTTAGTTTAAGATCAGTGTAAATTTAAGGGCAAAATTCCACTATTCTTGTAAGAGGTCCTTTATAAAGTTTCAAACTTACCCAGAGATATTTGAACCAACTCTTCATTATAAGGAATGATTTTATGACGACGAACTTCATATCTGTAAATACCAACCAAATAATTCTATGAAGTATAAACAGTATTTACAGTAACAGATTCCATAAATGGTATCATTAAAATAGGAATCTTAATTAATATCTCATCTATGATATTACATGGCAATTATAAGTTACTTGAACTTAACATTTGGGGTAATAAAAATAAAATATTAAACTATTTTTATATTGCATCCATAAGGCCAACCTAAAAATATTCCTTGTTTGGCATTGACCGACCCACCCTACCAGTATTTGGGTTGGTAGGTAGGAAAATTATTTTATTTTGTTTGGGGAAAAATATAAAACTGATTTTGATTGAATAATATATAAAGAAATTTTATTTCATTAAATGCAATTTCAGTAATGTCAACATAACAATTACTGGTACAAATACAACCATATTAAAATGTATTAATCTTTAATGCACTGTTGCAACTAAAGCGTTTAATGAATATTTTGTTTCCGGAAATAGCGATCGCAGATAAAATGAAACTTATAATTTAGATACAAATAAAAAAAAAAAAGTTCAGCCGGGGGGTGTTTTGGGTTGGTCGGTCAATGCCAAACAAACAATATTTTAATTTACTTTATTTAGGCCTAACATCTAAATAATTTCAGTTTTAAAAAGAGGCCCAATGTCCTCAGCCAATATAGACTAGTGGAGGAAATAAGTGAGCTATTCTACAGAAATGTATTGCTTTCAGTTTTTAAAACCAAAAACAAAATATGAAAATAATTTAATATAGAACATATTTTGGTTTTTATATATTGAACAATGACTATAGATCATTATTCCATGGAAGAACAACTACAAGAATGCTGCATGTGGCTGCCATGGCAACGGTTTCTTACTGAATCATGTCACTCCTGTTACTAAGATGTTAGTTATGTCAAAAAGTTATTTCCTCTTCTCATTACACATTTATTTTGTTTGAAATTAATTCATTTATCATAGTGTACAAAATAATTGTATTGCAAAAACAAATTTCTCTTATGCATTTTTTTTAACAATTCATTTCAAAAGCCTGTTACAGCAATAACAATTCCATTACAGGAGTGACACCCATGTAACAGCAGGGACATTTCTAAAAAATGATGAATATTATCAAATTTAAACACCTAAAAGGTATGGTTTAACTCTATCATACAGTCTTTGAAAGGTTTGATTTCAGGTAATGACCAGATAAAATTTTGCTGCTCATACATGGTCACTATATTTTGGTCAAAGTCACTCCTGTTATCAGTGTAAAAATTATAGAGTGTACATACAGTTGTAGTTTTTTTTTTTTTAATATCAGAGAAAGTATACAGGATAAGGATTATTAGAAACTTTCACACTATATAGATACCCGGCTGTGAGTATAGTTTTATCAACACAGTAAATCATGTTTGTAGACAGTCATAATTCTCTAGTATTATAACTATATTCTGTCACTAACCTGCTACATAGAAATTCTACACTTTCGTTTGTAAGCATCGTCAGAGTTCTGAAAGAAGCCTACATGTGCGATGGGCGCAGCCATTTTGTGAAATGGTCTTGTGTGAAACATTGCTGTAGGCGAGACTAAATGCCGGACCAACCCTGACCTCGCATGAACCAACCAGATCCAGCAAAATTCAAAATCCATGAAAAATAATCCCTACCAAACTGTTTCTCCATAAAAACCACAAAATTTAACCCCAACGAAATTAAAGGCTTTTAGAGTATTACTTCCTAAACATTATTGAATGATTGTATTGTGTTAATAATGGAATTAATCTACACACTGATATTTGTCTTTCCAGTGTCACCGCTGTTACCTCATGTATACATGTCACTCCTTTTATACAGTAGTAAATTCAATATATTAAATGTATGAAATGATTGATTTTGAATAAGCACCCATTGGCTATAGGTATTTCATGGCAGTCCATAACTTTACTGAAGGAAACAACCAGAGGTTGTCAATTTTATGATGCTTTTTGGTGTCTTTTTATCTTGCATTTGGATTTTGATATTTACTTTTTTGTGTAAAAGATAAATATAGGTTCCTAAAATCACATATATACAGGAATCACATGCAGCAGATTTGAAATTATTAACAGGTAAAACTTATTTTCTGATGATCTTAAATCAAAATACAGAATACATCTAGCAAGAATGTTACAAAAACAATAACAGCAGTTAAAACCGATGGCACTTCTGTTACAAATACAACGCAATTTAACCTGCTGTCTATATAAAGTCACATTATTATCAAACAAGAAAAAAAAATTGGTGAAAGAGCTTTAACACCACCGGTAATTCTAATGCAATTGCTACCTTTATACATGCTTAGAATGGTACCGTAAACATAATATTGTACACATGTATTAGTCACTCTAGTTACAACACTTGTCCCTCCTGTTATAACGGGGCTGATATCAGAAGTGACAATTATCATAGTTTTTGAGAAATTAAGGATAGGTAGACATCTTTGATTTTCCAAACCTGTGGTTCTAAATGAACTATATCTAACATAACTGTGTTATGTCCATTGGTTTGGCAGATGCGTCATATGGTGTCATTATGGGGTAAAGAGTTAAATATCAATGTGTAATTAGGGCAATATTCCTTTCTCTTCATATCATCTTCAGGTTTTAGTTGTGATCTTTCAAAATGGTCACATCAATTTTTCATGTACCTTTTTCCTGGTTTTCTCAGTATTGGTTAGACTATATAATCAAATGTTTTGCCTCCATCAGCTTTAAGAATGAGGTAGTTATTTTTGTGGATTATGGAAAATTGGCCGAATAACATTAAGTCTGTTTTAATTGGTACATGAATAATGCATCCTCGATATCCAGGGGCTAAGATCACTTTTGCTCTCTTACAACCCTGGAATATGTCGTAAAACTAAAGGCTCAGTAGGCGTCACCTTGTTGGTGAGACAAGGAGAGAGGTTCAACCCTTTGATGTACATCAAAAGAACCTCGCCGTCATGTAACGGTAAAAAGTGATTGGCTTTAAAGTCCGCTGTCGCTCCTGCGTAATCTTCAAAGAGTGTGAGGTATCAGCCTGATGATTGGTAAGTTTTTTTCACCTGAGAGTGCTTAAAATTTGCTGATATATTTCATGGGTGTAGAGATCGAAGGTGAACGCAACCCCTGGATATTGAGGACGTGAATAAATAATAATGTAGCAATAACAGGAGTGACATTGAAAATTAGGACAAACATTTCAAATTTTCAGAAAAATATTTAATTTGGCATATATTTCTGCATTAGTGGTAATGCACATGTGAATCCCAAATAAGCTAAAATGAAAAAATACAGCATGTTGAAAATTGAAAAATTGACCTGGGACACGTCATTTTTCTAAACCTTTGAAAATACAAAATATTGTAAAATTTGCCAGATAATTAACCACTTTTTTTTGTTTGCATACTGACTTTTAATACTTAAACTTATAATTTAAAAAGGACACACTTTAGGTAGAATATTTACTTATTTAGATACAGTCCCAAGACACAAAGTGATACATTTCTGTAGAATGTCTCATGTACTTGTACAACACCCAGCAAAGGAACTTTTTTTTATTTAGAAAGCTTTTCTTGTTATTTTTTATATGTACATTAGGGGCTTGCATTGTAAGCTCTTTAATTCCATTTACCAGGTAAGCAGTATGGTTTTTTTTCATATTGACTAATGTTTTTTTCTATACTTATTACTTACTCTGCCTCATCAGACTTTATAAATATGGTGATTCCATCATGATCTGTGCATATCACTCTTCCTGGCCACCAAACTTTAGCTGGCATGCCACCTATTTGGACTAAAACACAGGAGCCCTTGAAATATGAAAAAAATATTGCTGTATAGATGTGACTTATTAAAAGTAATTCGATACAAACAAACATAACCATCTTTTTATTCATGACTGGAACAACAAGCAAATTCATGGAATTTCTATCCCCCGCTTTCCCCAAGTCAAAAGAAACTCAAGTTATTTGACAGAAACTTATTTACTATTAATAGTAGCAGTGCCCTTGACCTTTAACCTCTGAAGCTGTAAACAAACCCATGCAAGCACTCTTTAGGAGCAACCTGTGTATGAAGTTTGAGGTTGATAAATTTGTCCACTGAAACTCAATTTATCCCTTGGAAACTAATTTTCTATTTATTGTAAGTCACCTTGACCTTTGACACTGTAAAGCAATCCCAAGAAAGCACATTCAGGAGATGATGTTTCAGGTTATTCTGCCAAAGGAAACTCAAGTTATCACACAGAAATGAAGTGTGACAGACAGACAGCCAGCGGACAAACCTAAATTAGTATCCCCCACTTTGCTGAAAGCGGGGAATGAAAGCTATAAAATATTACCGTTATTTTCCAATACTTTTGACTGTTTCCTGCTTAGTTAGTTTCTCGGGGCAAAAAAAGGATGAGTGCAAATCACCCACTCAAATTGAGCATTCCTACACAGACTATTCTACTTACTTTCTCAAATTGCTCTTGATTCCACTTTTTTTGCTTGTGATGATGA